GATCAGCAGCAGGATGTAAACGAGATTGATCAGCAGCAGGATGTAAATGAGATTGATCAGCAGCAGGAAGTAAATGAGAACATGTTTTCAACAGATTTGGTACATGATTTGTTGCTGCTGGTTGAGGATGACACGGCTGCTAAGTTTGAGCTCAACCTCTGTAAGATTTATGTTAAAGCCATTTTTGTGTTTATGAAAATAAATCTACCAGTAAATAAAATAATTATTGGTTTACATGAACGTTTTGTTATTGTTTACAGTTTTAGTCAAACTGAAGATGACCGACTCTTCGCTTCTCAACTCTGAGCTGGAATTAGAGCAACAAGAAGAAATGTATCAGCAGCTGCTGTTGCAGGTACTTTTGCTCTAATTTCTTTAAAACTTTTATTTACTCTCTCTCTCTCTCTCTCTCTTTCTCTCTCTTTACACGTGCTTGCAAAACAGTGAACCATCAAAAACTGATTCTTCTCCCAAACACCTTTCTCCAAAGTGGAACAAACCAGTTATGTTGGTGCTAAGATGGTGTCTTTGGCACGCCTCCTTCTCTGATGCCGGCCCTCTTCCTCGTCGACAGTCATGTCAAACTGGTTCAAAACCAAAAAAGTCCATGCTCAATAATAGGGATGTACCGATCCACTTTTTTTTACTTCCGATCCCTAAATCCAAATATCGGCCGATTAAATAATATACTTCCATACTGTAAAAAAAATGTAAATGGTTTTTCATAATCTTATGTTCAACTGTATGTAACAACTACCAATTAGTTTTAACTGTTTTTCTTGTTGAGGAACTGAAGTAGAGTTGCATTCATGTCTAAAAAAATTCAACCTGGCCCGGCCCGAACCCGTATCATTTTTTCCGAGCCCGACCCGAAACTGACCAATTAACTGTGAATACAGGCCCAAACCTGACAAAAAAAACAGACTTTTTAAATTAATTAAGCTTTACTGCATTTGTAAGCAAATCAGTTTGACATGATGGTTTAAAAAAACGTATTTCAAAACAAGGAAAATAAAAGATTTCTTGTTTATTAACAAGAGTCAGCAGATTATTTTAGTTATTATAATATTATAGTCATTAACGGTCGGTGGACGCGTATGGCTAATGATCCAAATTGGGTCGGCGGACGCACTTGTTTGCTGACGCAGAGGATGAGTCCAGTTAAGCTTCAGGTGGGTTGCTGGCAGTGATCCATCAGAACTTTTTTAACCTCTTTCAACCGGCCGGTTAACGTGCGATCACCTGGCTGCGCGCGGCTGGTGATCCGAATTGGATCGTCGATCATGTGCCTGTGGTGACACAATCAAAAGCCCGACCCGGCCTGCCCATCAAACACATTATTTTGGTCCGGCCCAAATTTCGAGTCGGGCCGTGCCCGGTTTAGAAATGACAGCTCTAAACTGAAGTGTTTGTTTGGCTTAAAAGTGAGGAGCGCTGCAGAAATCTAATCGGATATAATAATAATTAAAAAAACATCATAGAAATGTTTTTTTGTTTTAACAAACTGTTAAACATATGTTGTGTTTAACATAACATATGTGCTGGTCATAAAATTAGAATATCATGAATAAGTTAATTAATTTCAGTAATTCCATTCAAAAAGGGAAACGCATTAATTCATTACACACAGACTGATATTGGTAGGAACAGATACACAATGGCAGGTCAAGAATCACATGTTAAGATATATAAATACACTGCCTGTCCAAAAACAAAGTCTCCACCTGGATTTAACTAAGCAAAGAGGTACGAGCCTCCTTTTGGATAATTACTGCACGGGCGATCATCTTTCAGCTGCAACAAGTTATTTAACTCCAACTGGTGCAATGAGTTGCTTCTCATTTCTTCAACAACCATGTTGAAAGACACATCGTGTGGTCGTGGAAAAGATGTTGGTCTGTTTGAGAAGGGTCAAATCATTGACATCAAGCAGAGAAAACATCTAAGGAGATTGAAGAAACGACTAAAATTGTGTTAAGAACTGTCCAACACATTATTAAAAACTGGAAGGACAGTGGGAACCCATCGTCTTCGAGGAAGAAATGTGGCCGGAAAAAAATTCTGAATGATCGTGATCGGCGATCATTTAAACGTTTGGTGAAATCAAATGGAAGAAAAACAACAGTAGCACTCAGGGTTATGTTTAATAGTGAAAGTAAGAACATTTCCACACACACAATGTGAAGAACTCAAGGGATTGGGACTGAACAGCTGTGTAGCCTTAAGAAAACCACTAACCAGTGAGGCTAACTGGAAAAAAAATTGCTAGGGAGCATAAAGATTGGACTCTGGAGCAATGGAAGAAGGTCATGTGGTCTGATGAGTCCAGATTGACCTGTTCCAGAGTGATGGGTGCATCAGGGTAAGAAGAGAGGCAGGTGAAGTGATGACATCATGTCTAGTGTCTGCTGTACAAGCCTGTGGGGGCAGTCTATGATCTGGGGTTGCTGCATTTGGTCAGGTTTAGGTTCAGCAACAGTGTGTGCTCAAAGGAGGAGGTCAGCTGACTACCTGAATATACTGAATGACCAGGTTATATACACAATATTCAAATTTTCTGAGATACCGAATTTGGGGTTTTCATTACGTGTTATAATCATCAACATTAAAAGAAATAAACATTGGAAACATATCAGTCTGTGTGTAAAGAATGAATATAATGTACAAGTTTCACTTGCTGAATGGACTTACTGAAGTAAATCAACTTTTTCACGATATTCTAATTGTATGACCAGCTCTTGTATGATTACTTTTAATGTTTTAATGACACAAAAATGTGTCCTCAATTAACTGGAAGAAACTTTTGGTGTTTGTTTTCTAGACAATGGGCAAGCTGCAGACGGAAACTCCAGACTCCAAAGTAATCCGACCTCTTCCTGGTACGTTTCTAGTAGAAGCTGTGGAACCATTATTAAAGAAGTTTTCCATTAACAGATTCTAAAGTTTTACGAATCACAGCATAAAAAAATACATTCTTGTCTATTTACAAGGTTTTAGAATTTGGTAATGGATAACAAGTAACGTGTGACTGATCACACTGTGCTTTTGTTTCTCTTCGATGAAGTTTGTTTCATTTATTTTTTATTTAACCTTTATGTATACAGGTAGTGTCATTGAGTCACGTGGACTCATTTTCAAGAGAGAACTGTTTTGGGAGCAGATGGTGGGGGTAAGGGCCTTGCTCAAGGTCCCAGAGTGGGGCAATTAAGGGTGGAGGCAGGTGTGGGTGGTTCACCTTTTCCACTCACATTTTGATGTTGTCCATCCGGGGATTTGAACTGACGACCTTCCAATCACAGACACACCTTCTCTAACCTCTGTGCCTCCACTCCCCTCAGTGTATAAGTGCAGAAGCAGTGTGGGAAATTAAGCTTTTTATAACTCATAGAGGGTAAGCTGCAGCTTGGTTATGCCAATTCAATGCATTGATTGGTTGATTATCAACAAATGTGTGTTTTTTTGGTTTTTTTTGAGCATCCAGGTGTGTTAAACAGAGTCAAGTAAGAAAGACACCAGCATTGACCTTACAGAGAAACAACTTTTGCTGATGCCCAATCTGAGAAGGGTAAAAGGTTGATTCCAAACTATTTTGGTGTCCATCTTTCTCCTGAGATAAATATTATTCACAAGTGAAAAACGTTACCGGTAGTTTTACCAGAACAGAACATCTTGCAGTTAACCCAGAGGTCAGACTCTGCTATGTTTAGTGAAGTTTAACAATCCCTGGAGCTCACTCTCTGCAGGCCTCAGTTAGCAGGTTAAAGTTCATGAGTACCGTATTTTCTGCCGTACACGTCGCTCCGCCCTCTAAGTCGCATCAGTCCAAATATGCCTAATAAAGTGGAAAAATCCATAAATATATCACTTCGCCGTGTACGTCGCATCTATTATGCGTCCCCGCTGACGCATCACATTTGTTAAGTGTCATCGCTGACAACCTGGAAACGTGGGCCGGTGTTGTGCCAAAAATCGATTGGCTGCCAAATGGCGGCCGCGGGAGCGTGTACGGGAGGACTTTAACAAGAATTTAACAAGATTAACACTTAAAAACAGTTATGTGTTTGCTGAAATTATAGTAAAGGTGTGTCTTAGTCTAACTCAGTCCTTCTCAAATAGTGGGGCGCGCCCCCCTGGGGGGGCCCGGAGCAATGCCGGGGGGGCGCATGTGACCCTGGGGAACATTTTGCGGCAGGGATTAGGTTTTTTTGTGTGTTTTTTTTATTTTTTCACCATTCTCTTTGTGTCAGGGTGCGTTCAGCAACTGTTTGCTAAAATCCGTCAACTCTGTCTGACTAATAATAAAGTTATGAACAAATATGTCTGTGTTGTTGTTTGGGGAGCCGTGCATGAACCGTGTCCCTGTGACACCTCCTCAGCTGGTGACGCTCTGGACGCTCGTCACCCACAGCATTTCATGTGACGGAGAATAAACTCAAAGCGAGAGCGACACCTGCCCCTCTTCCCTCTTTCACATTGACAAAATGTTTTAGTTTTATCGATTGTCAAAGCACAAGTTGGATGTTTTTTTTTTTATTTGTTATAAAAACAGATGTTTAACAAATGTTAGGACTCTATTCTTTGCTAACAAAATATATTTTGTCATTAAACAACTTGTCAGGCTCTTGTGAGCGCGTTCCCCTGGAACTTGGTCCAAACCGGATCCTGCAACAAGACAATGACGGCAGACCGAGCAGCTAAATTAGTCATTCATGCATGAACCTGCAGGTCAAACAACCTCAAAATATCCTTTGCACGTCTGATTTACACAAGCGTTTGTTTTTTGTGCACCTCTGCCTCTTCATAAAAGAAAAACAGGGTGACTACTCTTCACAAAATCTTGTTTTCTTTTTGTTCTAAATGTCTGACAGAAATAAATTAAAGTGTTCTACAGTTCGCTCTAAGTTCACAGCTTCTGCTAATTCAAATCTTTTGGTAGCGTCTTAAATGAGATCAACAAATTCCTGCAAATGATAATGAACAGAATTAAAACTGATAGAGTGAGCCAAAATTCTTTCACAATAATGTGAAACACGAAGATGATTAGACATCTGTTACAACGAGGTGTTGTGGATAAACAGTGTAGTAAATCACTGGTTTTTATGTGTTTGCACATTTGGATTAGTTCTACATGAAGATGGATTCATGCTTTATTTTTTTATTTCTTTTGTTCTTCCCGACTTTCTGTTTTTATTTATTGATTTCCTTTTGGTTTTCTTTTTTCCAATTTTCTTTTTTTGTAAAATCCACTGCTTCTACACTAAAACATAAACTAACATAAACACATGACAAGGAATAAACAAAAATTAATGCACAAGAAAATATATCAGCCCACCATCATAAGTTACACACATTTAAATGCAAGTTAAATACTGTAAAGATAATTAAATCTGCGTTGATTAAAGTTCTCCTTCACAGAAGATTTCCGTCATCTGTAAAAATGAGGATGAAGAAAGAGTTCCCTGCAGCTGTGGGAGATATCAGAACTGATAGGTGTGACCACATTTCACAACATTTGTCCACAATCTGTGTGACTGGATTGTTGGAGTCCAAACTCTTTACAGATGTTTTGTAACTTTTTCCAGCTGATGAGCATCAACAACTGTTTTTCTGAGCTCCTCAGAAATCTCCTTTGTTCCTCCATGATCCACTTCCACCAACGTGTTGTGAAGATCAGACGTTGATAGATCCTGTTCTTTAAATCAAACAGGGTCCACTCACACCTGATCATCATCACTGATTGAAAACACCTGACTGGTGTTTGTCCACTGTGTTTTCTGAGGTCCAAGATCAACGCAGCCATCTACCTGGAAGTTTTAGAGACTTCATGCTTCCTGCTGCTGACCAACTTTATGGAGCTGAAGATTTGATTTTCCAACAGGACTTGGCGCCTGCACACAGTGCCAAAGCTACCAGTACCTGGTTCAAGGACCATGGTATCCCAGTTCTTATTGACCAGCAAACTCACCTGACCTTAACCCCATAGAAAATTTATGGTGTATTGTGAAGAGGAAGATGAGATACACCAGACCCAACAATTCAGAAGAGCTGAAGGCCACGATCAGAGCAACCTGGACTCTCATGACACCTGAGCAGTGATCCACTCCATGCCACGCTGCATTGCTGCAGTCATCCAGGCTAAAGGAGCCACAACTTATTACTGAGTACTGTACATGCTCACACTTTTCATGTTCATAGTTTTTAGTTGGTCAACATTTGTAAAAATCCTTTTTTATTGGTCTTAAGTAATGTTCTAATTTTCTGAGATACTGAATTTGGGGCTTTCATTAGTTGTCAGTTATAATCATCAACATTAAAAGAAATAAACATTTGAAATATATCAGTCTGTGTGTAATGAATGAATATAATGTACAAGTTTCATGTTTTGAATGGAATTACTGAAATAAATCAACTTTTTTATGATATTCCAATTTTATGACCAACACGTGTACTTTTACCATCACAAATATGTAATATTGGATCATTTACCTCAATAAATAAATGACCAAGTACAATATTTTTGTCTCATTTGTTTAACTGGGTTCTCTTGATCTACTTTTAGGACGTGTGAAAATCTGACTATGTTTTTGGTCAGATTTATGCAGAAATATAGAAAATTATAAAGATTTACAAACTTCCAGGCACTGAAGATAACAGTTTTACTAACATCAATAGTGAGTAATGTTTACAAGACATTTAATACGTTAGAGCTACAATTTAGAACTCGTTTTCCTCTATGATTAGTATGCTCTGTCAGTTCAAAAGGAAAGTTTAAGAATAAAAAATTATATAAAAATAACGTTTACAGTAATGATTTTTTAAAATCCTAAGACCTTTGACCTGCAAGACTTCACAACTTGACGATTGTGGCTCATGTGTGCAGCGCTGACTCAGGTTGTTCTCTGGTGTTTGTCATGTTTTAACTTGCGTTACTCTACATTTTTCTCTTCTCACTCCTCCCAGGTATGTGTGTGAAAACGTTCTCGGAGCCTGCCAAGGAGAAAGTTTTCATCAACATCTGTCAGTCGAACTCCGTGCCACCTCCACCAGAACTCACCAGAGACGAACTCGTGCAGCTGCTCCAGTCAGAGGACCCAAGTGGCTACAGAGTTCCCATGAGCCTCGGCGAGCCGCACACAGAAGCAGACAACAGTATGTAAAGAAAGCTGAGGGAACTGGACAGTTGCTTGCTACAGTGTGGTGCTGTCAGCAGAAACAATCACTGGGAAACTGTCGTGAAGGACACAAAGGTCAAATCAAGGTCATCTGGACAGTTTCTTTTTGAGAGAAACGTTTCGTCTCCGAAAGACTCCGTCAGTCTGAGGCCTGTCAACCCCGATCTGTCTTATAAATAGCACCTTATTGATGTGTTTCAAGCCAGCCTCCTGCTGAATTCCCAGAAACTCACTTTATTTGTCATTATTTAGCCTGTTTTGTGTTTATCTACCTGGATAATTGAGCTTACAAACTTTTCTTCTGAACCATTTTGGCCAGATATTTGTTGGATTTATTACCTGGATTACTGAGCATGAACTTTGATGTTTTGAACCACTTTGACCATGACTGCCTCAGATGAGTTGGCGGGGGAGCGGGCAGGCTCCAGAAACCAGCGTATCGCCACCAAACTGGTTGGCCCACTATGTGTGTGCTGCTTTAAAAGACTGAGTTTGTTGCAGCTCCTCGAACTGAAGAAGGCTCTTGGATGAGAGATGAAACATTTCAACAAGAAGAAACCGTCCAGAGGACCTGACTTAACTTTGTTGGATTTATTACCTGGATTACTAAGCATGAACTTTGATGTTTTGGCCAGATGTCCTCAGGCTGTTTCTGTGAGTAGCTGTTGACCATCAGGCCTAAAGCATTTGATTGTTGTTCATGATGATTGATTTTTTTTGGACGGATGTCTTCTTTTTGCTTGTGTAAAGTGAGTTTCTGGGAATTCAACAGGAGGTTGGCTTGAAACACATCAGTAAGGTGCTATTTATAAAATAGATTTAGATACTTTCGGATGAAAGGCTAAACATTTTTCCAGACTGTCCAGATGACATGATTGAACCTGTTTTGTATTTATCTACCTGGATGCAAGGTCATCTGGACAGTTTCTTTTTTGTGGAAAGATGTTTCGCCCTCCATCCAGAGGGCTTCATCAGCCTGAGGAATGCCAAGTAAGCTGTTTCCCACTAAGCAGTACACTCCTTTAGTGGACCAACCAGTTTGCTGGTGATAAGATGATTTCTGGGGGTGTCCTGTCCCCCGTCAACTCTTCCCAGGCGCCACAGCCAAAGTGGTTTGAAACATCAAAGTTCATGCTCAATCATCCAGGTTCAAAATCTACAAATGGTCAGTCAGGTCATCTGGACAGTTTCTTCTTTGTGGAAAGACTCGTGACTTCATCAGTCTTGAGTCTTTCCACACACAAAAGAAACCATCCAGATTAGACGACTGAACCTTTATCTACCTGGATGATTGAGCCTACAAACCTTTTTTTCTGAGTAATGAAGGAAAAACAGAAAAATTCTCATGTTCGTCTGTTTCCATCCATTATCTTTTACCCACTTCTTCCATTTTGGGTCACAGGGGTCGCCAGTGCCCATCCATCCATCCATTTTCTTTACCCGTTTTTTCCATTTTGGGTCACGGGGGTCGCTGGTGCCCATGTCCAGCAATCACTGTGCGAGGGGCGGGGTACACCCTGGACGGGTCTCCAGTCCATCACAGGGCCACATAGAGACAAACGAGACAAACAAACATTCACTCTCTCACTCACACCTAGGGACAATTTAGAGTTACCAATCAGCCTAACATGCATGTTTTTGGTCTGTGGGAGGAAACTGGAGTACCTGGAGAAAACCCACACATGCACGGAGAGAACATGCAAACTCCACCCAAAAAGGCCCCCGGACCGGGATTTGAACCAGGGACCTGCTCACTGAGAGGCAGCAGCTCTGCCCGTTGCACCACCACACTGCTGTCATCTGTTTTGAAATGCACAATTATGAAAAACAAATTTTCTAAACAAGCTGCAAACAATTTAGTTAAAAAGCATCGCCTCCAAATCATTTAAAAATAACATCATAAATCAATCTGGATTTCCTGCCAAGCTGCTCCAACGAAACAAAGCATCGCTTTTATAACCAGGAAAATCATTTTGTTTATCCTGTAGGCAGCACATCGGGGTTTATTTACTCTGTAAATATAACACTTGGAATTTGTTTACGTGGCTTGAAACATTGTTCCATTCACATCTGTTCTGTTTTTCTTTTTGAATCAATGTTTTTTTGGCAAGTTGGCTTTCTTGGACTGTGAGGTCTCAGTCTCGGATAGAGGACATTTGCAAACCGAGGTGTACCGCAAACCCACCCACAAAGACCAGTATTTGCAGTTTGACTCCCATCACCCTTTGGAGCACAAGTTAGGAGTCATCAGGACTCTGTATCACAGAGCAGACAGCATCCCCATTAGCTCAGGAGCCAGGCAGAAGGAGAAATCCCACACAAAACAGGCTCTAGAGCAATGTGGATATCCTAACTGGGCCTTCCTGAAAGCAGAGAAGAAACCCAAACAGGACTCCAGTCAGCCATCAGGTGAAAAGGAGGAACCCAGACCCAGACCAGTGGTCATTCCATATGTTGAGGGAGTATCAGAGAAACTGAGACGTTTATTTTCTAAACATAACGTCCCAGTGGCTTTTAAACCCCAAAATACATTACGGCAAAGACTGGTTCATCCCAAAGATCCAGTCCCCCGGCACAAACAGAGTAATGTTGTGTATGCTGTTCAGTGTCAGGAGGGCTGTGATCAGTCTTACATCGGGGAAACTAAACAGCCACTGGCCAAAAGGATGGCCCAGCACAGAAGATCAACATCATCAGGCCAGCGGTCACTCTTTCAGGGATGAAGATGTGCACATCCTGGACAGAGAGGAACGATGGTTTGAGAGAGGAGTAAAGGAGGCCATCTTTGTGAAAAGAAACCGTCCATCATTAAACAGGGGTGGAGGCCTCCGGGTTCAACTGTCCCCCTCTTACAATGCTGTGATTGCTAGTATCACTCAGCCCTCTGTGAACAGTAAACAGCCATCAGTGTGCTAATGATCCATTGTTAGGCTGATGGTCCTTCTTGAGCATGTGATCAGCTGGTTTTGGTTGTCAGCAGCAAACTGGTTGATCCACTCTGAGAAGGTGCTATTTAAGAGACTGAGCTGAAAACAGCACCTCAGACTGAGGAAGTCTCTCGGATGAGAGACGAAACGTTTCTACATTTTTTTTGCTTTGTTTTGTTTTTGTTTTTTTGAATGTCCAGAGGACCAGATTGAACTTTTTTTGATTTTTCTACCTGGATTATTGAGCATGCATCAGGATGGAATGTTTTTTTGGTTATTTTACTGACAGCATGTTTTGTTTCAGACTCTCAGCAGTGTACAGCTTATGATGTCGTCATCAACCAAGACTTTTACCAGAAGTGTCAGGTTTGTCGCATTATTGTTCATTTTAAAAACCTACCGGAATAAAAACAAACACATTTTATAATAAAAACAATACCCATGACATGAACTTTAAACTGTGTGTGTGTGTGTGTGTGTCCTGCAGGAGGACCCTTTATTCCAGCAGTTTATTATTCTGGTGTCCGTCGAAGGTTTAGAGAACAAATACAGTCTGGAGCTAAACCGAGGTGCGCTTGTTTTTTATGCGGCGTCTCTTTCGTGCTGGAAACAGTTGATGGATTTCATCTCGTGCGTTTGTGCAGACTGGAAGGTGCTGAAGAACAGGAAGTTCCTCGGTTCTGTCAGCGAGCAGAACATCAGGACCAAGAGCCGGCCAGTGATTCAAGAGCTGCAGCCCGAGTATGTTCACTGCGCCACAGGAAACGTTGTACGCACAAATTGATGCAGGGCTTTTTATTGGCTCGTACAGAGAGGGGAAAATACGACAGTTCATCCATTTTAAAAGATACTGAGGTGAAACTTTGTAGTGATACCTGACAGGGATGCACAATACACTTTTAATTCTAATCTAAAAATGCAAAGCTAATTTCAGATGGACATAAGTCGGCCATTTTTACAGCTATTCAGATGAAATGTTGATGTATTGGTAACTGAGAACAATCTCTAATCCCAACAACAAAAACATGGCAATAACAAAACAATCCCTCTGATTTCAAATCAAAGATCCAAGATATCCCTTATAGCTTAAAAGAAAAAAAAAATACACGTCTCATTGATTTTTTTTTTGCCATGTTGAGGTAAAATTTGGTAAATTTGTGGTGTTAGCCCAACACAAAGTCCTGTCAAATCAAAACTTTTAAATGGCCGCCATGTGGTACTCTCCTTCAAAGTATCTCCTGTAACGTTCTAGTAATAATAATGTATTTATTGTTTCTCTGTGTTTTTAACTTTTGGGACATTTTTAATTTTATTACCCAACCTCACCGGTTCCTCCACAACTTTGTCTCTGACCTATGAGGAGAGTTTCTTGGCCTTCATGATGTCTCTTACTCGGCGATACCTCTTAATACTTAGTAAATTTATATACGCCTGTTCTGAGTCAACAACTCTGCGATCATCTGACACATTAGTAACCACAGGTGGCTCTTGTAGGCTTCTGAAAGTGGTGGTTGTGTAAATCTTTGTGTGTTTAATACTTGGCAGGGCTTTGAATTTAGGACTTTGAGCATGATTAATGTGTGCTTTAGTTTCGCTCTGAAAACAGAACTGAAAGAGTAACAGTTTCCTTAATTAAAAAAAATCTAATTTATGACGCTCATAGTCTGGAAGATTTGTACTTTTATAAATTTTGTTAACAGTATCTCCTACTCTGTGTCCATGTCCCTGCAGGAAGAGTCCCACTTCTAGCTGTAAAAGGTACGACTCCCCCATCCTCCTTTTTCTCCCTCTTTCATACATATTAAAAGCCAACAGTCGTAACGTTTGGATGTTTTGTTCTCTGATCAGACCAGAGTTCACACTGTTTGTGGAGCCTCCTGACAGACAACCTGAGTGCCTCATTTCGGAGATAAAGTTGCCTGGAGTGGTAAGGCATGCAGAAACAGTCCTGGTAATAAGAGTCTCCTGCACAGATTTGTCGCTTTAAGACACAGGTGTCAAACTCCAGTCCTCGAGGCCTGGAGTTTGACACCCCTGCTTTAAGGCATGATATGGTACAAAGAAAATGTGTAACTTGTATCAACCTGAGCCAACGTCGAGTGGTTTGCGTCATTTATAATGTTCTCCTGAGAGTTGACATCATGCTAGAATACATCGACAATGATTACAGAAAAGAAACTGCGTTACTCGCAGGCATTTCACACAGTGTAAATTGATCTAGTGTTTTCTAATCTGTGACCCCATGTTTTAAATGCTTTTTATTAATTCTTCAGTTATTATTATTATTAGTGTATTGTGTATATATATATATTTTTTTTTCTTTAATTTACTCATTGATTGTTGTTGTTGTTAAGCACTTTGATAACAGGTTCTGTTTTAAATGTGCTCTATAAATAAAGTTGACTTGACTACGCACAAACTACTGAACAATGGCAACAATATGAAAAGTGTAGGCATGATTTCTAAGATAACGTGCGTGTATTTTCTTTAATTTTAAAGCAATAAAGTCCTACATTATCATTCTGACAATGTTTGTACCCTGGTGCAGAGCAAAGAGGGGAACTGGAAATACCATGTCCATCTGTGGATATTGTGAGCATATCTTAAAAAATTACTGAGGTACCAACTTCCATTTAGGTGTATGGCTGCATCTTGGACGCAAGTTCAGTATCAAAAAATGAGTTGCCATTAGGGGTGGGCGATATGGCTCAAATATAATATCGTAATAGCAGAGCACTGACGATAACGATAAATTTTGTGATATAACAAAAAAAAGATCATATTTAATTATTTGACAAAATTAACTTAACATGTTGCTTTGCAGTATTATATAAAAAATAATAAAACAACAAGGGTTAATTTTACTGAAATTACTTTATTTAGTAAATTATTTAGTCTCCAAGTATAAAAATAAAAAAGATCCTTCTGTTATTTAGATTGAAAACGTCTGCACAGAATATAGATCAACAAAATTCACCACAAAAACTAAAGTGCAGGTGCAGTTTCCCAAAATAACTAAATAAAATGAAGCTTAAGATCTGTTGAGCATAAATGTGACATACAACAGGCAACATATATACAACATATATGTTTCCTTTAAATGAGCTATAACTTCCAGAACTTGTAACAAGGTGATCATGTGACCCTGAAGCTTGTGGAGTTTCTTCTTCCTCTGTTCCTGCAGGAATCATTCATTTCTCTGATGCTCTGTCTCTCATCACCTGACTCTGTTCTTGCTCCATGGACTCTGGAACTCAGAGACAGTTGAGCTGCGTGTTTGTACCGGCAGCTTAGAGCGGGGGAGACGCAGCCGAGCTGCGCCCACACTGGCTACCTAGAGCTGGGTAGGGAGAGAGAGAAAAAGCCAAGCTGCATTTGTACCGGCAGCTTAGAGCTGGGGGGCGTGTGTGTGTGTGTGTGGTGGTGGTGGTGGTGGTGTGTGTGTGGGGGGGGGGGGGTACAGTTGAGTTGTCTGTACCTTCAGTTCAGAGCTGGGTGTAGAGACAACTGAGCCGCACGTTGTTTGTTTATAGCTTTTTAGCTAGCTAGTATTGCGTGCAACTAATTAGTGTTACGCCAGTAGGGGGGTGCGCAGTTCAGTTCAGTCGTTCAGTGCTCTCTGTTCTGTTCAGGGCGGGGCGCCCCACTTGTATAATGGTAGGGGAAACACTGATGTATTACGTCATGAAATTAGCATATCATGATATCATTTATTTTCCCGGGCAAACTTTTTTTTACAGATATTATCATGCAGCCCTCCATGACAAAATCCAAGATGGCCGCCACGTTCAGGAAACTGTGCTTCTAGTTTTTATGTTTCTTAAAAGTACAGTGTCCTCAGTTGATTAGGGTGGCTGAAGAATAATCTGTGGTGGCCACGGCCACTCCCTGGCTCCTCCATCGGTGATGGATAAAGGTGCTCCCTCCACTCGCCAGGATCCGTCACTACCACTGCTCTTATATGCAGTGTAACTCCTACCCACTTGAATATCTTGTACCATAAACAAATTACAAATATTCACTCTTCATATCCCTCAGAGACAAGGGACATTGGCGTACCACTAGTTTTATTTAAGGAACAGCACATTGTTTGGTGCAGAACCTCAAGGTTCCTCACTCTGAAGCTGTTTATGTCCTCACGGCTTCCCCTGACATTATTATCCCCTCCCCCCAAAAAGGAGCACTGCCTGCCTCACCCCCTTAACGTCACGACATGTAGCAGTTTAATAAATGTCTGTATGTGTTGACTTGTTTCCAATACCAGTGCATGAGCCAAATAGCATTGGATCTAGAGTTTAGTGTAATTGCACCATAAGATTCAATGTAAACATCTTTTTTTCAATTGGGTAAAAGCAGGAAAAGTCATTTAAGCCTGTTTAGCTAATGTCTTTTCAGACCAAAATCAATAATTAATCCGACAAACTCCTCAGGATTTGATGTATAAATCTGCTTTAATCACTTCAGACTTACAAGTCGTCTCTTTCAAGCGAACTTTGAATGATGTGATTTTTTTTTTCTTCTTCTAAACAGCTGAGTCATTGTTAAGCTGCATGTCTACAGGTGCCGTGATATTTGGGATTAATGTGTAACAGATGAGTTAATACTTTAAATACACAGACAATTTCCATTAACCCTCCTTTAATCTGGTTCCTGTTTCGTACAAAGTGCCCACGGGATCTTACTGCTTTCATTAGAGTGTTGAAAAAACATGTTTGTTGAATTATTTTTAATAGTGTGAATGTTGATGAAGCATTCACACTATTGTGATCCATTTTCCTTCCGTACGTTTTTTGTCAACTTTCTCATTCCACAATTTTTGCGCTATTTCAACAAAACATTATCAAAACGTTCAGCTCGTTCAGGACAATCCTGTTATGACTTTTGGTATTGGTGCAACTTTAGCTTTTTGAAATATTTAGCCTTTTCTGACATTTTTTTCCTCCATAAAAAATGAACTGAGCTCATTTTGCCTCCTTCACATCTTAAGATGTGTTTACAACCTTTTACTGCTCCTTTCACATTTTGTTCTGCTTCAGCTTCTTTGTGCAAATTCAAACTTTTGTCAGCTACTTTCAGCCAACAGTTTTTTCAGCTGTTTTGTGCTCCTTTCAGATTGTTTCTGCTAACTGCAACTTTTTTGTGCTTCTAACTTATTTTTGCTAATTTCAGCTTGTTATGCTCCTTTCAGCTTATTTAATAATAATAATAATAATGTCATCACAATGTCAGCACTGTATGTTTCCATACAATGGCGAAATTAGTCTCTGCATTTAACCCATCCACCACCAGGTGGTGCAGTGGGCAGCTATTGAAAGCGCCCGGGGGACATTTTGGGAATTAGACGTGCTGCCCAGAGACGCCACGTGATGTGCAGTGACTGGGGATCGAACCTGGGACTCTCGGGTCCCAAGCCGGCTTTATTTCCGCAAGTTTCAGATTTCCCTGCTATTTCAGCTACTATTTAGCAATTTAAATGCTAATTTAAGCTTGTTCTACCTTTTCAGCTACCTTTTTTGCCTAATTAGCAACCGTAATTTCAGCATTTTTCAGATAAATTCAAAATTTTTGTACTCATTTGTGCTTCTTTCAGCCTAGTCGTGCAAACGTGTCTTTGCTTTTTTCTGCTATTTCAGCTTATATTTAGCTGTTCTTATGCCAAAGTTAATGTTTTCATTTAATTCCACATTTTTGGTGCTCTTTTCAGCTCCTTCCACTTCCTTCTAGTAGTTTAAGCTTTTCTCTGCCATTTCAGCTACTTTTCAGCAAAAATGTTTTGCTGATTTCAGCCCTTTTTTTTGTGCAAATTTTTCTACTTCTTGTGCTCATTTGTTTTTGTTTTTTTATCTGTCTTTTTATTGAAATTTTTAACAAACTACAACGAGAAAAAAGACAAAACATAAAACAAACCCCACCCCCTACTCCTTCCGTCCCACACTGAATCAGTCACACACAAACAAACAAATTAACCAGGCATTGACATGTTTTCTACATACAACATGGAAAGCTGCCAAGTGTCCCAAAATCTTTTAACAGAACCCTTCTGGGTATGTCTGATCTTTTTTTTTTTAAAATGTATATGATGCATCACCTCTCTTATCCAATATACATATGTTGGGGGGTGTGGGTCCTTCTAGTTCCTCAAAACAAGTCTCCTGGCCAGAAGAGAGCCAAAAGCAATCACATTCTTCTCGTATTTTGAAGGACGTATCCACAGGGACCACCCCGAACAATGAGATTTATTTATTTATTTATTTATTCATTTTATAATAATAAGAATACATATCAATTTACATGTATGTAATTTGAAAATAAATAAAATGAAAGGCAGCAGATGAAGAAAAAATCTTAAGTCTGCTCCTTATTTATCTAATAAACAATTCAAACAAACATTTACTGTAAGTAACAAAAACAAATAAATAACTCACTTAATTTTTCAATTAACAAACATTTTCAATGAATTACATTCATATATATTTTTTTAACAATTTGATTTTTACCAGTTTCTTTAATACCAAGATTGATTTGTCTTCCTTAATATCTGTCTCTCAGTCATTCCATAAACCAACACCCTGAATTAAGGTAGATCTTCCCTTTAAACTAGTTCTGAACTGCGGTTTTACAAAAACATCTTTCCCCTTAAGATTGTAACAGCTTGATCTTTTCACAAAATACATTTGAATATTAGAAGGTAGTGTATTTGTATGAGCTCTATACATAAGTGACAAAATGTTATAATCCACCAAATCATAGAATTTCAACAGTTTCATTTGATTAAATAAAATACTTGATGGATGATAATAATGTTTTCTTGTGATCATTCTTACTACTCTTTTCTGCAATATAAAAATAGGCTTTGTAATTGATTTACACGCTTTTCCCCAAACATTAACACAATAAACCAAGTGTGGAACAACAATTGTATTATACAACAAAAACAATGCTTTATCGTTTAGTAGATACCTAACTCTATAAAAAATTGCAATAGATTTGGATATTTTCGTTTTAACAGAATTTATATGTTGTTTCCACGACAGTTTATCGTCAATGATGACACCCAAGAATTTCACCTCATTAACTCTACAAATCATTGAATCTTCAATTTGAAATGGAACATCAATAGTTTAATTTCTATTACTAAATATCATGTAATTTGTTTTATCCAAATTTAAAGATAATTTGTTTAGTCTAAACCATTTCTGAATTTTAACAAACTCCGTCATCATTGACTCCAATAACTGTTCAATATTTTTACCAGAACAAAAAATTGTTGTGTCATCAGCAAAAAGAACGCATTTAAGGAGGCCAGACACCTTGACCAAATCATTTACATACAAAATGAACAACTTTGGGCCAAGTACGGATCCTTGAGGAACTCCACAAGTAATAGTACAGTAATCCGATTTCACATCATTCATCTGTACAAACTGTCTCCTGTTTTTCAAGTAACTACACACCCATTGTAAAGCTAAACCTCTGATACCATATTTGTATAATTTATCAAAAAGAATATTATGGTCAACAGTATCAAATGCCTTTTTCAAGTCAACAAACACAATGAGATGAGTGGTGATGGGTGAACAGTTTGGCCACACACTCCAGAGAAGGTGTCAAAAATAGATTACCAACAAGTCTGCAGTTTGGGACAAGAATGTATGCAAGAGTGTCGCTGGAGATTTTTTGCAATGATTGCATGCAGGGTCCAGGTCGGCTTTGATCTTGGACAACTTGTGTTTGGACCAGTGCAGCCGGTGACCACCTTGAACTGAATTACATCATGTCTCAGATAGACTGAAGATGAGTAAATGTTCTTAATGATCCTTCTCCAGGTTCAGTCTGATATGGATTCCTCCAAGTCTGTTTCCCTTTTCAGTTTAAGGGAGTCCAAACTGGACTCATGGTATGAACTGATCATGGTATTGAGCAGTGTATAGATCTTGCTGAGGGCCCCCCTAGTGTCAGACTGCAAACCAAAACCTTAGCCACAAAATGTTTAAATTCAATTCAGTTTTTTTATATAGAGCCAAGTCACAACAGAAGTCATCTCAGGGCACTGAACAGAAACTAGAGGGGTACAAAGGAAAACAATCAGAATTAGATCTCACAAAATATCTCAGCTGCAGATATCTAAAAAAACTGTGACTTGTGGATATTAAACATCTGTACCAGCTGTTCAAAAGAGGCAAATCTACCATCAACATAGAGGTCACACAGTGACTGCACTCCCTTCAAGACCCAGGAGTCTGTATCAGCCACTGTGGGAATAATCTTGTGCTCAATTTCACCTAAACCTTATTCTGCTAATATGTGTTCTTCCTGCTTTCTTCTGCTCTGTTAGTCTTGTTCTGTCATTTCAGCTACATTTCAGCTCTTTTTAGCTAATTTCAACTGTTTTTCTGCAATAAGCATTCACACTGCATTTTCAAAGGAAATGTAATTTCTCTAGTTTCATTTCAGTCTGAGTCTTAATATCAATCTTAATAATCCAGATGTCTTTAAGATTTTTTTTTTCATATATGCAAAAACACAAGTGTTGAACAAATGAAGGTTTGTAAAGGCCTTTCATGTCACACGTTTGTGAAAAAGCTGTTTTAGGATAAGATTTCGTTACATTACAAGGAGCAGTGTCTCAGTTGGATGAACTCGTCTCCTCCGCAGACTTCGTCTCGCTCCTTGGTTCTGGATGTTGGAGAGGACCGGCTGGTGTTGACTGCTCGGCCCTCGCTCTACCATCTTGACATTTTCCACCCGTTCCTCGTCGACCAGGAGAACAGTGTAGCACAGTACAACAAGAGCACGCAGGTATGAAGCTAACCCCGCGCACAGACACGCAGTGAAGAAGACTGCTGCGTGGGTTCAACTCTGTTATCATTTTCTTATGCTTTTGCAAAAATCATTAATCCCTCATAGCCGTTTCTGAATCTATGAAAAGCATAAAAATATTATTGTGTTATAACTTCATTCAGGGTTACCTAATGTGTTATAAATGAAACGGAGGAAAAAATCGATTTGCAAATTGTGAGCACGTGGCTGAAATGTTATAACACTGTGTTTTACGTCATTGGACTTGAACTTTGTGCAACTACTGGATTTCCTGGAAGTTTAGCCCTCTGGAGAGCAATCCCTGAGCTAGGTCCATACCCAAGTTGTAATTTATGTTTTACTTGGAAATATTTTTTAAATGACTTTCAAACAATTCAGATATTTTTAAATAAATACTTTTTCCCCTCTATTCTCTTTTTATCGAGAAAGAACATTTGGTTTGGGCTGTTGAGCTAAAATTTGTCTCAAAACTTTTTTTTTTTTTTAACTTACAGTTTTCTGTCTGTTCTTAACAATCAGCACAAAATCAATGTTCAAGGTTCTTCAGGGTAGAAGCTGTTCCTCAGTCTAGAGCAGGGGTCCGCAACCTGCGGCTCTGGAGCCACATGTGGCTCTTTGGTCCCTCCGCAGCGGCTCTTTCAAGCTTTGACCAAAACTGACATAAAACTGACATTTTTAGGACGTTATACCCACAAAAAATTTATAGTTTTAGCAGTTTTCCTGTCATTTCCTTTGCAATTTCATGCCTACTGGCCAGAAAAGCCCCCTCTAACAAACTTAAAGTGGTCCATGAGCCACCAGTTGATAATGACAGTTGTAGCAGTTTTTGTGGCTCTGGACACATTTAATTTAGTGAGCGAAAGGGCAGAAATGGCTCTTTTGATCGTAAAGTTTGCAGACCCCTGGACTAGTGGTTCTACACTTAATGCTCCTCAACCTCCTGCCTGAGGAGAGTGGGGCAAAAAGTGTGTGTGCTGGGTGAGTGGGGTCCTTCATGATGCAAGTGGCTCTCTTCCTGCATCTGGAGGTGTAAATGCCTGTGATGGTGGGGAGGCTGACTCCAACAGACTTCTGTGCAGCCTTCACCACTCTCTGCAAAGCTTTTCTTCTGCAGCTGTGCCAAAAATCAAACTTTGACTGTAAAATAAATTATATATATATATATATATATA